TATCAGCGTCTTCTAAAAAGCTCATGCGAGGGAGGGGCTGCAGCGGGAGGGGGCGGCCCACCTGCCCGGAAGTGGCCAGCCCCGCCCGCTCTGACCGGAAGTGGCCAGCCCCGCTGACCGGTCGCTGCCGTTCTCGTCCATCACAAAGAAGGCTGCAAGTGCAAGTAAGGTCACTCCGGGTTGGAGAGCCTGGATTCGGGTCGGCTCTGCTTCCGTTCCAGTTCCCTGCTGATGCCCATCTGGGGAGGCCGCGGGGGATGGGCCAAGTCCCCACGTGGGGGAGCCGGGTGGAGCTCTGGGCTCCTGGCTTTGGCCTGGTCCACCCCTTGCTCTTATAAGCATTTAGGGAGTGAACCAGCAGATGGAAGATCTCTCTCTCTCTCTCTCTCTCTCTCTCTCTCTCTTTTTTGACAGGCAGAGTGGACAGTGAGAGAGAGAGAGACAGAGAGAAAGGTCTTCCTTTGCCCTTGGTCACCCTCCAATGGCCGCTGTGGCCAGCGTGCTGTGGCCGACGCACCGCGCTGATCCGAAGGCAGGAGCCAGGTGCTTCTCCTGGTCTCCCATGGGGTGCAGGGCCCAAGCACCTGGGCCATCCTCCACTGCACTCCCGGGCCACAGCAGAGAGCTGGCCTGGAAGAGGGGCAACCGGGACAGAATCCAGCGCCCCGACCGGGACTAGAACCCGGTGTGCCGGCGCCGCAAGGTGGAGGATTAGCCTAGTGAGCCACGGCACTGGTGGAAGATCTATCTGCCTTTCAAATAAGTAAAGTAATAAGAAATGACTTTTTTTGAGATTTATTTTATTTATTTGATAAGACAGAGTTAGAGGGAGAGGGAGAGGGAGAGGGAGAGGGAGAGGGAGAGAGAGAGAGATTTCCCATCCGCTGGTTCACTTCCCAGATGGCTACAATGGCCTGAGCTGCGCTGATCTGAAGCCAGGAGCCAGGAGTTTCTTCCGGGTCTCCCATGCAGGTGCAGGGGCCCAAGGACTTGGGCCACCCTCTACTGCTTTCCCAGGCCACAGCAGAGAGCTGGATGGGAAGAGGAGCAGCTGGGACTCGAACCGGCGCCCATATGGGATGTTGGTGCTTCAGGCCAGGGCTGTAACCCCCTGCCCCACAGCGCCGCCCTGGCCTAGTAGGTGCTGCTACAATCCTGCTGGGTGTTGTCTGAATCGTTAGTGCACGTGCAGGGGTGACTGGTTTCAGTGAAGGCTGCCCATACTCCTCCCACAGACGAGGGAGTCGAGGGGGGAGGCCGACAGCAGGTTACCCCGTCTGTAAAAGACTTGCCCAGGCCGCGCTGTGGCTCTGGCCTCTCGCCTTGCCCCGCTGAGATGCCCAGAGAGGTGAGTGCAGTGTCAGGAAAGCCGCGTGTCCTGCTGAGTCTCTGTCTCCTGACTGTGACGTGGGGCCGGCGGCTGTACCGCCCCCGAGGGTGAGATGGGCGCAGGCAGCGAGGAGAGCAGCAGTGTTACCAGAGGCTGAGAGACGAGCCTGCCCCAGTCCTCCAGGCTCAGGCCAAGCCCAGGTGTCGGGGGCACGATAAATACCTCGAGAGAGAAGTTAGGACGGTGTCTGCCTGCAAGCCGTGGGAAATTTGGCTTAAACACGGGAGAGTAAAGAGCGTGAGGCAGGCAGGCAGGGGCTCTGTGGAGCACCTGTGAAGCCGCCAGAGACACCCGTTCCTTCTGAGCCCCTGCTCCATCCTCTTACGGCATTTGAGTCTTCCGCATGGCCATAATGTGGCTGCTGCAGCTCCACGCCACACACCCACATTCCAGGCTGGAGGAAAAGCAAAGAGAAAAAACGTTCTCCCCTAATAAGAACCTGTCTGTAACTTGTTGGTCAGTTTCAGTTTCCTGGGGCATAGAGGGGTGGCATTCTGGTGTCGAGGGGACACAGAATCCAATTCTGCACAGGGACATTGGCTTCCGTGGGCACACCTGACCCCTTGGTTCGAGCCAGTCGTTTGGGGCCAGCCCGAGGCAGAGGAAGTAAGGAAAGACAGGGAAGCAGGGGAGGGGCAGGGAACGAGGCCCGGATCCTGGGGCACTTGATGCCTCACATGAGACGACGGAGGGCTTGCGTGCCGTGAGGGCGCTGCGTGGACAGGACTGGAGCCGCAGGACCTCGCCCTAGGAGATCCCGGGCAGGGCAACTTGGGCGGAGACAGCCCCAGGTCTGCCGGGGCCATGGCGCATGTTTCCAGATGCGGCGCTGGGGCCCTGCCCCCACCCGCGGGCAGCTGGTAGTGCTTTTCTGTAGCTGTCGGGCGCGTGAGGGCAGGGAAAGTCTTTTAAACATGTTTTATTGGGCCGGTGCCGCGGCTCACTAGGCTAATCCTCCGCCTTGTGGCGCCGGCACACCGGGTTCTAGTCCTAGTTGGGGCGCTGGATTCTGTCCCGGTTGCCCCTCTTCCAGGCCAGCTCTCTGCTGTGGCCCGGGAGTGCAGTGGAGGATGGCCCAAGTGCTTGGGTCCTGCACCCCATGAGAGACCAGGAGAAGCACCTGGCTCCTGTCTTTGGATAGGCGTGGTGTGCCGGGTGCAGCGCACTGGCCGTGGTGGCCATTGGAGGGTGAACCAATGGCAAAGGAAGACCTTTCTCTCTGTCTCTCTCTCTCACTGTCCACTCTGCCTGTCAAAAAAAAAAAAATGTTTTATTTATTTTTGTCTGGTTAAAAGACAGACACAGGAGAGAGAATCTTCCATCCATTGGTTCATTCCCCAGATGACCACAGCAGCCAGGGCTGGGCCAGGCCGAAGCCAGGAGCCCAGAACTCTCCCACTTCTCCCACGTGGCTGGCAGGGGCCCAAGCACTTGAGCCACCGTCTGCTGCCTCCCAGGGTGCACACAAAGGAAGCTGGACCGGGAGCAGAGCAGCGGGGACCTCAGGAGGCCTCCAGTGGGAGATGGAGATGGAGACTGCGCCACACGCCCGCCCCCAGAAAGGCTTTGTAGAGTTTGCTGATAGAAGCAGTGTATACTTGCAGCCCGCACGCCAGCACACAGGTGCGCGTGCACGCACACAGAAGGTAGGAAGGGCGGAGGCGGCCAGCACAGCCACAGGCTGCCTGGGGGCCGCCGTCAGAAAGGCGCCAGGCTCACATTTCCCGACTGTTCCAGACGTCGCCTGTGTTCAGCCCCTTGCGCCTTGCGCTCGCCGTCCATATTTTTTTTTTTTTTTGGTGACAGGCAGAGTGGACAGTGAGAGAGAGACAAAGAGAAAGGTCTTCCTTTACCATTGGTTCACCCTCCAATGGCCGCCGCGGCTGGTGCACTGCGCTGATCCGATGGCAGGAGCCAGGTACTTATCCTGGTCTCCCATCCTGGTGCCCCGACCAGGACTAGAACCCGGGGTGCTGGCACTGCAGGCGGAGGATTAGCCTAGTGAGCCATGGCAAGGGCCCAAATGAGTAAATTTTAAAAACTGTTTTAGTGGAAGGCTTTTACACACCACAGAGTCACAGACAACATGGAAAGTTAGCAACACCCACTTCTGGGTCCACACACGAAAGAACCGAAGGCAGGGACAGTTCACTCGTACCCACGTTTCCCCATTCGCAGTCGCCACAACGCAGAGACCACCGGGTGGCCGGCGGAGGATGGCGGGGAGACTGTGGTCCACGCACGCCATGGAATATTATTCAGCACATAAACGAGAGGAAATCCGGACACATGCCGCAACTAGGAAGTTTCTAGAATAGTCAGATTTACAGAGACAGAAAGCCCAATGGGATCAGCAGGGTCCAGGGAGCTACTGTTTAGTGGAAACAGTTTCAGTTGGCGGTGGTGATGAGAAAGTTCTAGAGATGGCCCGTGGCGATCGTGGCCCAACAGTGCCAGTGTTCATGCCACTGAACTGGACACCTGAAACTGGTTAAAGGGTACAATGTATGCTACGGGCATTTTACCACCATAAAAACAAAATAGCTCAAAGGCAAGTAGCAAACCAGAAAAAATATTTGCAATATATTTGCAAAAATAATGGCAGTATATTGCCAGTTTTTCAAAACATGGGCAAAGATAGAAACATGCAGTACAAAATAAGAATTACGATGAGGAGGAGGAAAAGAAATAAAAATGGCTGAAAAGCCGTTTGGAAATAGCTTCCGTCTCGTGCGTGGTTTCGGCGAGCACGGAGGGGACGGCACACACAGCTGGTGCGTGCACAAATCAGCGGCTTCCTGCGAGGAAGTTGGTGCCACGTTCCACATCTTCTTAGAAAGTCCCATAACCGTCTACGGCCATACCACCCTGGACGCGCCCGACCCCGTCTGATCTCGGAAGAAAACTCCACAACCGCACACTGGGCCACAAGGAGTTCACTCTCTGGGAGCAGTCGAGGAAGACACAAAGCAGCGAGAGAGGCCCCTGGGGACCGCTCCCAGGCTTCCCCCGCCCCTGAGCAAGCTCCGCAGGGGGTGACCCTCTGCTCTCTGCTGGTGCACCAGGTGTGCGTGACACAGTTGAAGTGACAAAGGTGACAGGAAGAACCGATATGGAGGCCGGCGCTGCGGCTCACTAGGCTAATCCTCCGCCTAGCGGCGCAGGCACACCGGGTTCTAGTCCCGGTTGGGGCGCCGGATTCTGTCCCGGTTGCCCCTCTTCCAGGCCAGCTCTCTGCTGTGGCCCGGGAGTGCAGTGGAGGATGGCCCAGGTGCTTGGGCCCTGCACCCCATGGGAGACCAGGAGAAGCACCTGGCCCCTGGCTTTGGATCAGAGCGGTGCGTCAGCCATAGCAGCCATTAGGGGGGTGAACCAATGGAAAGAAGACCTCTCTCTCTCTCTCTCTCTCACTAACTCTGCCTGTCAAAAAAAAAAAAAAAAAAATTCATTCATTTGTCTGAGAGGCGGAGAGGGAGAAGCAGATAGAGAGTGCGTGCTCCCGTCAGCTGCTCTGGGCCTGGCCAGGCTGAAGCCAGGAGCTGGGAACAGAATCCAGGTCTCCCCTGTGGGCGGCAGGAACCTAACTACTGTCATCGTCCTTGCCTTCCAGGGGCTGCGTGTGCGGGAAGCTGCAGCCAGGGGCCGGCGTCAGGTTGAGGGAGGCGCTCTGGTGTGGGATGCAGATGCCGTAGCTGCCGGCTAAGCCACCAGGCTAACTGCCCACCCCACAGCTTTCCACGGTCAAGTGCCCCATCGGCAACGCTCTGGGGTCATTTCTCTACTGTTTTGAAAGACCTCCAGGTAAGGGCTCTGCCTGCTAATTGCTATGCAACAATCTACCTGCTAACGATCATTTGTTGTCCGTGTGAATTGGAGGTTGGGCGGTGAGGCCAGCTCGTCTCTGCTCCACGCGGCGGCGGTGGCCGAATCCGCTCCGAGGTGGCTCACTCCCCGACCTGGCACTGTGCTGCTAGCCCCGGGCGTGGAGCTCAGGCCGGGCACAAGGCTGAGGACATCGGCAGCGCCCCCTGCCCAGTGTGCGCCTCTGCCAGGGACGCTGGGCTGCCTTCCAGCCTGGCAGCCGGCTGTGAAGAGCGAGGCGGAGGGACATGGCCTCAGGGGTCGGTGTCACGGTGTGTACCCCGCTGGTCGGTGCAGCCAAGGTCAAGGGGAGCGGACACGGCTGAAGGCGCTTGCAGCTGTGGAAAAGCACACGGAGGGGGACTTGGCTGCGGCAGTTTCTGGAAAACACCGCCTGCCGCCACGCCCCCGGGTAGCGGTCCCTCCCGCCCCTCCAGCCTACCCCGGCCTGCGGCCAGCTGGGGAGTGAACCGGCGGGGGGAAGGCCTCTCTCTCCCCCTCTCTCTGTAACTCATCTTTCAAAGAAATAAAATAAATCTTAAGAGATTATTTATTTTTGTAAAGCTGGATTTTTAAAAAAATATTTACTTATTTATAAATCAGAGTTATAGAGAGAGAGGGAGAGACACAGAGAGAGGTCTTCCACCCGGTGGTTCACTCCTAAATGGCCGTACCAGCAGGAGCTGGGCCAATCTGAAGCCAGGAGCTTCCTGAGGTCCCCCACGTGGCTGCAGGGGCCAAGCCTTTGAGCCGTCTTTGGCTGCTTTTCCTGGGCGGTTAGCAGTGAAGCAGCCTAGATGTGAACTGGCGCCCACGTGGGTTGCAGGCATTAAGGGGGCAGCTTCACCTGCTACGCCAGCGCTGGCCCCCATTGTGAGTTACTGTGTCTGCTCTCACCATTTCTGTCCAGCATTGTACTCAAGGTTATAGCCATTTTGATAAGGCAAAGAAAAGAGATTTTTAAAATTTACATTGGAAAACAAGAAGTAAAATTTGCAGACGATGATCATCTGTGTAAAAAATGTGGCCGGCGCCGCGGCTCACTAGGCTAATCCTCCGCCTTGCAGCACGGGCACACCGGGTTCTAGTCCCGGTTGGGGCGCCAGATTCTGTCCCGGTTGCCCCTCTTCCAGGCCAGCTCTCTGCTGTGGCCAGGGAGTGCAGTGGAGGATGGCCCAAGTGCTTGGGCCCTGCACCCCATGGGAGACCAGGAGAAGCACCTGGCTCCTGCCATCAGATCGGCGCGATGCGCCGGCCGCAGTGCGCCGGCCGTGGCGGCCATTGGAGGGTGAACCAACGGCAAAGGAAGACCTTTCTCTCTGTCTCTCTCTCTCACTGTCCACTCTGCCTGTCAAAAAAAAAAAAAAAAAAAAATGTGATGGAACCTACAGAAAAACCACCGGTGAGTTCAGTGAAGTCCTGGACATAAGATCATTACACAAACAGCAACTGCATTTCTATACGTATGCAATGAAAAACTGGAAACTGGAATTTTATTTTTTAAAAAGATTTATTTAGAGGAAGAGTTAGAGACCTGTCTTCCATCTGCTGGTTCACTCCCCAATTGGCCGTGATGGCTGGAGCTAGGCCAATCAGAAACCGAAGCTTGGAGCTTCTTCTGGGTCTCCCACATGGGTGCAGGGGCCCAAGGACATGGGCCATCTTCCACTGCTTTCCCAGGCCACAGCAGAGAGCTGGATTGGAAATGGAGCAGCTGGGACTTGAACCGGCGCCCATATGGGACGCCGGCGCCGCAGGCAGAGGATTCACCAAGCGAGCCCCGGCGCCGGCCCCGGTTTCTTTGTATTTAAGGGTCTGCTCTAATAGCTCCTTTCTCTGCATTTTCTCACAGGAGGCCAGAGAAGGCCAGAGGACACTCAGCATCCTGCCGCATCACCGAGTTCCCCGGCCCATTTCCTCTTCTCCACGTCCCACCATGGCCCCCTTCCTGCCCCCTCAGAACAAAGACCCTGTTCTCCCCGTTTCCAACAGGCTTTCCTTCCTCTGTGCCGACGCCCTCCCTAATCCTGTGCCGGGCTCAGTGTCTCCAAGGCCCGGGGGTCTCGACGCTTGGTTCTGGCTGCGGCCTCTTGCTTAGCTGCTGGATCGGCGGGGGACAGCTGGGGGCTGGCTGGGCCTTGTTGGCATGCGGCCTCCGGGGGAAGGGGCACTGCGCTCTCTGCCTAGCCTGGCTTGGGCTTCCTCACAGCATGAACGCCCTCAGGCTGCGCAGACCAACCACCTGGGCTGGACAGCATCAAGAGTGTTAGCCCAGCCTGGTTTTCGTTTTTTTTTTGTTTTTTTTTTTTTTTTTTCCCCTAAGATTTATTTATTTGAAAGGCAGAGTTACAGAGAGAGGGGGAGAGAGAGAGAGGTCTCCCATCCATTGGTTCACTCCCCAAATGGCCGCTACGGCTGGCGCTGTGCCTATCCGAAGCCAGGAGCCAGGAACTTCCTCCAGGTCTCCCACGCAGGTGCACGGGCCCAAGGGCTTGGGCCATCTTCTACTGCTTTCCCGGGCCACAGCAGAGAGCTGGATCGGAAGTGGGTCAGCCAGGATGTGAACTGTTGCCCATATGGAATGCCAGCACCGCAGGTAGTGGCTTTACCATATGTCACAGCGCTGGCCCTAGCCCAGCCATTTTATAAGGGAGACTGTTTCCTTTCCCACGCTGATCAAAGCTCACCATTGAAGGAATGAGTTTTCATTTAAGAGGAGACTGTGTTATACCAGACAGTAACTGGCATTCATCGAGGGTTACCTGCGGGCCAGCTGCTCCTCTAAGCCTTCTACATGGCGAGGTGGGCCTCGCTGATTACCGTTTCTGAGATCCACTTGGGTGGCACAGAGAGGCACAGTGAGAAGTGACAGAGCCGGGACTGACAGCCACAGAGCCCGAGCCAGAGCCTGTGTACGGACTGCTGGGCTGCTTGCTGGGCAGTCACAGGCTGATTGTAACACTTCTGCCAGTAAGTAAGAAACAATAAGAAACAGTAGCTTTTTTTTTTTTTTTTTTTTTACAGGCAGAGTGGACAGTGAGAAAGGTCTTCCTTTGCCGTTGGTTCACCCTCCAATGGCCGCCGTGGCTGGCACACTGCGGCCGGCACACCGCACCTATCTGAAGGAAGGCAGGAGCCAGGTACTTATTCTGGTCTCCCATGCGGGTGCAGGGCCCAAGCACCTGGGCCATCCTCCACTGCACTCCCGGGCCACAGCAGAGAGCTGGCCTGGAAGAGGGGCAACCGGGACAGAATCCGGTGTGCCGGCGCCGCAAGGCGGAGGATTAGCCTAGTGAGCTGTGTTGTGGCCAACAATAGCTGGTTTTAAAAACTGAAGTGGTTCCTCTGTGCTGGGCTCCTGTCCTGGTAGGGGCCCCAGACACAGTCGCTGCCGCTGTCCCAGCTCCCAGGAGAGGAGGCCGAGAGCCCCGGGGAGGTCTAGGTCACCTCACCCGGCCGGGAGATGGGGTTGGAACTGGGGGCCCGCTGAAGGCCTCGCTCTTTCCCATGCATGTCACGCCAGAATCCAGCGGATCCTAATGCCGTGCCCGTCTTTGATGGGGACCCTCTTCTTGGAAGGCCGGCTGTTGGGGTTAACCTGGAGCAGGGCCAGGATCCGCGGGAGGACTTCCCAGATCAGTTTTGCCAGGCAGCGCCGTGGTCTGCAGCCGGGCCCTCGGTCCTCTCGCTCCCTTCCCAGCGGCCTCCGAGCCACGAGCGGGCCGGGGCCCGGGGAGGACCGGGGAGGAGAGGCAGGCCCTGGGGCAGCGGGCGCGGGAGGCAGCCAGGCCCTGGTCCTGCGCTGTGGGAGGCCGGGAGGGCTCTGCTTCTCCACGCGCGAGTGGAGTCCCTGCCTGGGTCTAGACAGCACTTCCCTGCAGGGCTCCCGCGTAGACCCCAAGCCCATCCTGAGTCACGGGGCTGCTTGGTTTCCCAGCATGCACTTCACGGTCACAGTGCTCGCCCCGCCCCCTGGGGGCGCATGGACTTCTGGAAAGCTGACTCCTAACTTCTGGGAAGCTGACTCCTAACTTCTAGGAGCGGAGCACGTGGCTGAGGCCTAAGCCAATCAGAATAATCCCCAGCCCTTGGCTGCTGTGATTGGGCCAAGAGCGGGCACGTGACTCGATTGGCCCAATCAGAGTGAAATAGAGGCCGAGACGCCTGTTCTGCTGGGTGTGAGGGAGTTCCTGCAGGTGCTGCCAGATGGCCGCAGGTGCTGCAGAGGGGGGCCCGCCTGAGTGGAGCGGGTGAGGAGGAAGTGGGGCAGAGAAGCAGACGGGGGCCCCCTCCCTGCAGCCCCGGCCCCGCGGAGGACCACACGGTTGTGTCTGGTCTGCCCCGTCTTCTGTCTTCCTGCCCTGTTCCGTGGCCACAGCGATCTGGCGGGCGTGGTCGGTTTCATCAGCTTTCCGCGAGATTTTGCGCAGGGAGGAGCCGGGCGGGGCTGGACTTTGTGCCGGGACGCCGTCTCCCCCGGCCCTCTCACCGTGCAGCTCCCATTTTGGTCTCTGAAGCGTCAGATGTCATTGCACAGAGCATCCGCCTGGGCCTGCCGGGGAGGGGGATTCGCCTTCGGCTTGGAGCACCTGTCAAGGCGTCTGTGGACCTGGGGCAGAAGTTCCCGTCCAGAGGGAGCGGGAAGTGGGGCCCGAGGGGGTGTTATGGCAGATACTTCCTTGTCGCGGGACCGTAGGCTTGTTCATGGACTCCAGGAAGGTGGGCTCAGTCTCTGGCTTGGGGGGGAATTGCAAGCTGCGAGGCCCAGTCTCGGGGCATTCTGGAGAAAGTTTTCTTGTCTAGTAAGAGGAGAACCTCTGCTCTAAGCCTCTGTTCGTTTCTTCCTCCAAATGTAGTTGTGTGAGGATGTGATATCTGGAGCTCTGGCTGCCATTTTGTGACCATGAGGGGAAGGCCAAGAGATTAGCAGGGACCAGTGCTTTGAGTATTTTTTGGCCACCAAACTTACTCTGAGAGCCACCTACTCTGAACTTCCTGCTATTTGAGAAAAAAGAAAACACACACACACACAAACACACAAACCTCAACCTCTGTTCAGTTAGGCCAGAGTTTAGCCAGTGTTTTCTTTAAAGGGTCCCATAGTAGATATTTTAAATGTTGCAAGCTATGTGGCCTCTGTCATGACTACCCATGTCTGCATTTGTATCACAAAAGCAGCTACAGACAATTTGCTAGCAAATAGATGTGAGGTGTCCAACAAAGCTTTGTTTTAAAATGAGAGGGGCTGGCGTTGCAATGTCATGGGTAAGGCATCCTGTATGGGCGCTGGTTCATCCCAGCTGCTCCGCTTCTGATCCAGCTCCCTGCTAACGGCTGGGAAAAGCGGTGGCAGATGGCCCAGGTGCTTGGGTTCCTGACTTTGAGCTTCAGCCTGGCCCCGCTCTGGCCATCACAGCCATTCTGGGAGATTGCTCTCTCTCTCTCTCACCTGACTTTCAAATAAATAAATAAAGGAAACTGAGCAAAGGGCTGGATTTGCCCTGAGCCGTAGTTTGCCAGCCCCTCCTGGCCCCGTGAGCTGGCCTTGCCGTGACGGACACCCGGAGCTGGGCTGCCTGGGCTGCCTGGACGGGGATCCTCTCCACCCTACCAGCTGGGCACGCGGCTCGTCCTCCACGCTGGCAGCTCCCACTTCTTTTCTTCTTCTTCTTTATTTTTAAAGATTTATTTTATTTATTTGAAAGAGTTACACAGAGAGAGAGAGAGACAGACAGAGAGAGGTCTTCCATCTGATGGTTCAGTCCCCAGGTGGCCGTAATGGCCGGAGCTGCACTGATCTGAAGCCAGGAGCCAGGAGCTTCTTCCGGGTCTCCCACGTGGGTGCAGGAGCCCAAGCACTTGGGCCATCCTCCACTGCTTTCCCAGGCCATAGCAGAGAGCTGGATCGGAAGAGGAGCAGCTGGGACTAGAACCAGCGCCCATATGGGATGCCGGCGCTTCAGGCCAGGGCTTTAACCTGCTGCGCCACAGCGCCGGCCCCACTTCTGTCTACACACACTCATGCAGTCAACAGACGTCTACGGAGTATCTTTCATGTACCAGGCAGTGTGCTGCTGCCGGCAGTGACGGACCCTGCCCCTGGGCGCTCGCATTACCTAGCAGTGAGAATCAGGGAAGGCTCACGGAGGAGGTGATTGCTGACTCAGTGCTCAAGGCTGAGGCGGAGTCGGGAGGGTGCAAGACACGGCACGGGCTCGGTGGCATGTGGGTGTCCCTCGCAATGGTCCCGGGGCGAAGGTTTGCCCCTGGACAGAAAAGGGAGGGGAAAGGGAGTGGAGGTGGGCGAGGCCCCTGAGACCCTGTGCGCCCAGACCACGCAGTGGCTCCCAATGTCGCGATGGCTGCTGGGCCTAGGGCGGTAGCGGGCGAGGGGAGGCGAGGCCTGGTGAGATTCCGAGGAGACGGAGCGACAGGCCTGAAGGATGGAGCGGCCGTGGCGGGAGCCAAAGGCGACCGGCAGGGTTCTGCCTCCTGCTCCGACGACGACGGGGTGGCACCTTATCTAAAGGCGGACAGGGAGGGCGGCGGGGAGTGCAGGGGAGAGTGTCTGCGGCCTTTATGCGAGGCTTTCTCAGATCAGAGAGGAGAGCAGCGAGCGGGCGCTCGGGCTGTGGCCCGGAGAACGCACCAGGGTGACGGGGCTTCTGCACACGTGTCGTGATTCACAGCGTTAGGGGAGAGTCTCTAAAGGTCAAGACGCAAAGTGCAGGAAAGTGACGGGGCTGTCATGGAGGCCGCTGCATGCGCGGCGGTCCCTGCTAGGGTGTTTGCCGGAAGAGCAGGGCGGGACTTGGCCAGGAGCTCCGCGGGAGCTGGGAAGGGAACGGGCCTCCCCCGGAGACCCTGAGGCCACCTCCAAATACTCTGCTCACCTACTAGCAGATTGAATCTAAATGTTGATCAGAGTATTGCAGGTCCGCTGATTTAAAAAGCCAAACAGGCCTGCCTTCTGCTACGCGTTGTATGTGGTTGCAAGTGACACACACCCTGGTGGCTGGCAGCTGGAACCTGAAGATCTGATTCTGACTTTTTGGTTGCTATTCACAGCCAGGAGTCCAGAGGTGAGCCCTTGG